CCCCCCCCCCCCCGAGTGCGACCACTTCAAATTTTTGTGATTAAAAAAAAAAAGTTACAGTACAGATTAAACTTATTTACATTGAAACTTATGGGGAAACTCGCTTTGGTATACAAGTGCTTTGGACTACAAGCATGTTTCTGGAATGAATTATGCTTGCAATCCAAGGTTTTACTGTAACTCCAAAATTGTTTAAAAAATAAACAACTTCTTACAGCTTTCAAATGCTTAATAGAAAAAGATTCATATTTAAAACACATTAAGAACATTTAATGAGTCAATAATAATAGTGTCACCAACAATAAATACTCATTCTCATATTCATAAGTAGGACAAGAGGAACATACCAAAATGCATATTTGTGCAGAATCAATGCATAGGCACCCCAGTGGAGCATCATTCTGATGTCTGACTTCAAAAAGGGCCACAGACAGCAATCACAGTCCAAAGCACCAATAGATCTGAGGGCTTTAATGCACAGCAACCACCACAATGGACAGTTGTTCGAAGCTGTAAAGCAATGTTAAGCGTGATAGCAGAATGGCAGAGCCAGTGTTGACTGTCCAGTGCCACGCATGGTCTGAGTGTGTGCCGTGTGACATGCAAATGCGACTGTGGAGCAGTACCAAAGAAACACACATGGAAAGGATATCTCTGCAGAGGAGTGGAATCTGCTTCCCACACTGCTATTCATTACCTCTGCTGTATCTTTCATCCATTCATTTCTTGATTTGCCACATCCATGAGATTCTAAAGTAGCTAACTTGTGCTAAATATTCCCAGCAGCCGTTCCAGTAAGCTGATCATTCCAGTAAGCTCATTCCAGAAGGAGATGAGACAGGAAGCAGGATTATTTCACCAGCTAGGCTGAAAGGTTTCTTCGTTTTTTCCCCTCTTCCCTTGCCATCTCCCTTTCATTGTGCATTGCATCTTTACAAATCGTAAGCCTGAGGGCACAGTTTGGCTTGCTTTACTAATTGAATGTAAGCCACTACAGGGACTTTTTTTTTTTTTTTAGCAGATGTAAATAAAAATATATTCTCTGTTCCTCAGTTACATACTGTCTCATTCGTTGGACACAAACCTGGTCATCCAGCGGCTGGAGACAATTAGCCAGGTGCCTTTCTTTTACACCTGGCAGGATTGTTTTAAAATGCCTTTAATTGTCTTTATTGTCTTTTAATGTTTATAATGTGATTTTAAATTAATGTTTAATTCTTAATGGTTTAATCTCTTGTATTTTATTGTTTTTATACTTGGTTGTAAACCAACCAGAGAGCTTTAGGTACAGATGGTATAGGAATGAAATGAGCAAAGTAGTAGTCCAACAATGCCTTGTAACTTTGTGAGACATTTTCTGAGCTGTGCAATATCTCCTTTCAGGTCCCTTCAACACACAGCTCAGAAATAAAATCTGTGTTGTTGTTTTTAAAAGTGGAAAGGAATCTAAATTCATCTTCAAGCACAGCTTAGTTGAACATGCTGTTCTGTCTTGATGATAATATTGCTTATTTAAAAAGCCATAAAATATTAGTATATAACTTCAACACTTTCTAAATCATAAAGAACCAGATATGACACGCATTACTTACTTGTTCCCAGCATTTGATATTATACGATCAGGTCAGTTGGTATTCTAAATGCAGCAATCAGAATTATGCTGATTTTGACCATGAGCATCCCATTTAATGATGAGGGTGGACAGCCATTGGATTGGCATATCTTCCATGAATGCAGTAAGCCATCGCTGCACCCAGTGGCAGTGAATCCCACATGTTTCAGTGTGCTGGCTGGTTCCTGCAGGCAGGCAGTGGGTCAGTGTTTGAACAAAATTCCAGACTCAGTAGGCCATTGCCTGGTTTTGCTTGGCTCTTCTTATGGTCTTACATTTCACTTGGTACCCTGACGGTCTATTCTGGCATCTAACAGAGAAATATTGCGTATCTCCTCTGGATCAATACAGATACACACTCCAAGTTTCCATTAATGTTGATATGGGACCCAAAGCTTTTCAAGCTCAAAAGGCTATCTTCAAGGACTGGCTACAGAAAATGAAGAGGCACCTTCACAAAAATTGTGAAAATGAAATTAAATATCTGGAGCAAACAAAAGCTATAACTGATAACTCATGCCTCTTGACAAACTGCAGAACTATTCCATGATAGAAAGTTTAAAAGTTTAAAGTATGTCACATTACTTGCAGAAATCTCAGAGATGTGAACGTCAATTATGCAGACATAGCAGCCAAGGCAACCTGTGAGACAGAAAGCAAAGCAAATGAGTATTGGCTTAAGCACTGAATCATCGGTACCGAATAAGCATGGGAACAAATAGCATCAGGGCTTATGCGAATGGGGCGGCATATAAGTTCTCCAAATGAATAAAATCAGAGAATACCACTAGAAGATTCTCACAACTCTGTTAAAAATGGAGGGCAGTACTCCTCATTGTGGGTTTTCTATGTGCAGCTGGTCAGCCAGAATGCTGGACTTGATCCACACTGGGTCCCACATGGCTCTTCTCCCATTTAAATGATCTTGTGACACCAAAACTCTACATTCCAAAATCCACTATATCTTTTTAAAGAAAGAATGCATTAGGCCCTACTGATTCTCTCAATTGTCCAAAACCATATGTCCAATAGCAATAATATCTTCTTTTATAGAATGACTTGTTCATGGAGTACCCAACTTATTTTTTTCTGTTGCCCATGCTGACCTGTGCTACTGAATACCTAGTAAGAAATTCTAATGAAAAATGTTAGAAGCCTGTGATATTTGAAGAGGAAATCATTATTACTAGGATCACTTTGTTTTTATGATTTGACACAACACCACCGATGGGTGTCCAATAAACATTTTCTGTTTGATGGCTTATGGAATTATGGTATTAATTCCATAGTCAGACTGTCTTTCCAAGACCCCCCCCCCCCACAAAAAAAACAACCTCCAATATCTTTTAGTGCTAGTATTTCTATGCCACCTTTCAAAGCAAAATCACTGCCAACATGACTCACAGAGAGTTTAAAAAAACCCCCAAAATACAATTAAATTGGATTGTTTTAAGATTATTTTTGATAACGCAAAGCTGCTCACTCATTTGTCTTTTATGAGCACTAGAAGTTTTTCCAGCATAAAAATAATTGCATAGACATTGACTGATGTGAACCATGTTGTTGGTGTTACATGGAGTGAAATATTTGTTGGGACAGAGTTTAGGACTAAAACAGACCTCCAGATAAGTCATATTATGAATGCCCTTGTGAGATATGCAGCTGCCACGAAGAGGATACCTCTAAGTGATCACAAACATAACAATGTCACCCAGCAATCATAATCACAGAAGACATTTCGGGGCAGTGAAAATAAGCATTTTGCCAGCAAAAAAATATAACAAACTGAATGCGTTCTTTAATGAACTTCTGCAAGGCCACATAGAGATAACCAAGGTTCCTGAATGGGTGCCTAGCTTTCTCAATTAATAATCTGGAATCTCATTTATGCATGCTCTTTTTAATTGAAGAACTCTTATCTTAAAAAAATTCTTTTAAGTAAAAATGAAAATTATTCATTGTCAGAAGCGAACTATTCATCTTGTCAAAAAGACATATGATGTTAACTTAAGGACGATTTCTAATAACGGCATAAGTGACATTTGCCGGCATGGCATTGGTAAGGCAACATATATCTTTGTCAAACTGTCAGGATTTGCACGTGCTGCTGTTAGGGCTCTTTAAAGAGAAATGAAGTACTAATTGTAGCCCAAATCACCCCAGCCATGATACCATCAATGAAAATATCTGCACATTCCTTCCCCTG